CAAATCTGTGGGCTGAGCAGGGTGTTTCTGGAGTGGAAAAAAAAAACCCCGAGGCCCATCCACCGTACAGCTTTCTGCTGGTGAAGCAGCAGGAAACGACAGAGCCTTGTAGTTGTGTCTAATTTCTTTTTCGGTGCAGAGAAACTGCTATTTATATTGGTGTCATTATCCCCAAATAACTCCCAGAGGGAATGTCTTTATTCTAAGCAGAAAGAGCTTTTCCCAGCTTACCTTTAAGGCATTTCAAAGCAGCATTGGCTAATTGGCAAAGAGCATGCTTGTCTCCAAGTAAGAGCCTGTAGATGTGTATAAGTACCTATTTCTTAATTCATTTTGGTGTATGTTCCCCATTTATGGAAGCCATTAGCCTAAATAGGAAAAAAAAAATTATGTCTCTTCATACTGCAGGGCTTGGGTTTGAAATCTCAGTTGGTATCTTGCAAGCACACTGGTGGTTAGTTAACCGTGGGATGGCCGGGGATGGCCAAGCACTCCCCGTTACGATATCCTGTACCTCGCACGCTGCTGCGGAAGAGCCTTGCAGTAAATCATGGTGGGAGAATCTGTTCCCCCGCCTGTCGTCACACAGGCAGGATGAGAACGATGTCGGGACCGTAGGGCCGGTGATTTCCAGTCTTGACACCCTGGTCGTGAAAACCGGGCGCTATCCTGCACTGGGCCACAGCTCCGTTCCGCTTGGCGTTTGGGGAGAGTTCCTTCGTCAAAACCAGAAGACGGAGGGAGCGAAACATGCTTGGATTTTGTTATAAGAGGGAGTCGGGGTGGGCTGGTGCAAATCTGGAGGCAAAGAAGTGCTTTGGCACCTTCGCTGTAGGTGTAGCCGCCGCTGATGTGAGATCTGGGTGTGATTTGAGACCTGGACGTTTCTGCCTGCTTTAAGACTTGTCATTATTAGCAGGAGAAGATCCGTCCCTTTTTGATCTCTGTAAAAATAATAATTTCTGATTCTTCTAGACTTCTTGGCCTAAATGTTCCCCTCAGTTTAATAGGTTACTTCAGCAAAAAATAACTAATTGTAAATAAATTCCATTTTTCTCCAGTTGAGATGGGAATTTTAAGCTCTTTCTGAAGCCTGGACGTGATGAAATGCAGCCAGAGGCAAAGGAAGGGGAGCTGAGCCTGAGCCCTGGCCATCTAGGTTTGCCGTAACTTCTGTGGAGCACCTAAAATTTGTCAGTCTTAAATATTTTTACACCAGCGTAACAGCGTGGGAGTAACAGAGAAATGTATGTTGTTAGTGTAGTCATTTTCTGCTCTCCCTGCTTACGGTTTTCCTCATGTTACTGCTTGGGAAAATGTAATAATACTGTTGGTAATTGCTTTAATGTAGGCAGGGCTTTGACTGTACCTTTTCAAACCATGGTAATTCATTTTTTCCTCTAGGAATGAGTAAGTGGAAGTTGTTAGCAAAGTGTACCATAACACGTATTTAAAGCATGTGCAGGGTTTGTCTTTAAATCAGGGTTAGATGTCTTTCTACGGGGTCGGTGGCAGTGAATTTTCGTGAACTTTAGGCCTTCAGTGTAGTTTTCTGGTGTAGATCCTGCTGCAGGATCAGATTATTAGGAAATAAACCTTGTTTCTTGCAACATCTGCAATATCTTGCCACATCTACAGTAAGCAAATCATGGAACCAAAGAAATGGCAGCATCTTATGTATTTGCTCTTGGGGTTTGATAGGAAAAGCTAAAGATCGGAAACCCCTGGCATTTCCCACATTAATTAGGGCTTGCTAAGAAGTATTGTGGTTTGCAGTCACATTTGATGACTCCCGTGATACTTGGCAGCTTTAAAACACAGCGCTTGACAAGAGCCCAAGGCCTTTTGCTCTCGTTTTTTGTTTAAACAAAGGCAAAGGTGTCGATAAACACTGGCACGGCAGCTATAAAAATTGGATTTTATTGTTGTAAGGTTTAAAAGGAGGGCGCTGTCGCCCGTTTCATGCAACGTAACGCATAGTTACTGAATAAATTGGTGAGATTAGCGTGGTTGAAACTCGATGTTTGTAGCAAAGCACCTCTGTTTCTAAAGGATTTTGAAGCTTTGGCAGGTTTTGATGGGATCTGTTTCTTTTCCAGTTCGATTACTGCTGATTCTTGGTCAAGCCTGTGGACTGGTCGTACGTGTGAGGCTTTTCTTGAGCCAGCCCCACGAGTTTCAGCTCCTCTTCTCTGACCTGAGTTATCCCAGAACATCAAACGGGAGCGATAGTCTCCAGATTTAATCTGGAAATAGAGGGTACACTTTCAAATGGGCTTGTGCATGCGGTAACTTGTAAAAATCGGAAAAAGTGGTGCTTCACCAGCAGCCGAGGTGCAAGGAATCTACACAATTAGATTTTATTAAACATGCAGCAGCGCTTGAAGGTTTGTCACTCTGGAGGAGAGTGTAGAAGTGTGGGTATTGAATTTGCACTTTGGCTTGTCAATTTGAAATCCCTTTCAAAAATGCAGTCATTAAAGAAAAAGTGAATTAAGTTTCACATGGGGGTTTTTTGTGTGTGTGCGCCTTTGAATTTCTCGGTTAATTGATGTGGTTTTGCAACCGCATCTTCTCAAAAAAAAAAAAAAAAAAAAAAAAACCCAAAAAACAAACCCAAGCAGCACTTCCCCCTCTGTTGGTGTGGCTGGCTCCCCCCAGCCTGGACTGCTTCTGATTTTTCAGGGGTGAAACAGGCTGAGTGGAATCAAGACACAATTTGTCCCCCGTTGACTTGCCCTTGTCAGGGCTGGATGTGACTAAAAATATCAGAGACTAATTGATGCTCAGGCTACCCATGGTGACAGTGCCACGGTTAGAGACTGTTTGGAAATTGCAGGTGGAACTTTAATTCCAAACAGATATTTATTTAGTTTTTACGGAAGCAGTTTTTAATTACCACTTGGGGAACTGAGAACTTAAAAATCATACTCTCTCTTTTTTTTTTTTTTTTTTAAAAGACCATTTTCAGAACACAACAAAAATTGATTTAGAACTACAGTTTTTAATTTTTAAATTGATGGAGTTTTTTTATTATTAACTTTAGTGTCTAGGCTTCTGGCTTTAATGCCAAGCTTTCAAGCCATGAACAATTAAAACCATAGTCCTAAGCCCTCAAAATGGGTTTGTAATTGAAACAGCAGTTGGCCCTCAGCTACAGCAGAGCTACACAGCCTTTTTTTATCACATAAATCCATGTCATCCCTCGTAGAGGAGGGATTATTCACATGGCTTTTTTGTTTGCTTGTATATGCAGTCTAATACTATAATTATTGCTAAAAATGAGATTGATTTGACTTACAGGATGCGACAGGTCAACAGCAGATGTATTTTTGGACTCCAGTTTAATATAGCTGTTGAGGGGGTTTTTTTGATGCGTGCTCTCTAGGGACTGCAAAGGAAAATTCTAGCTGCTTTCTCCGCTTCTGTCTTTCAGGGCTCTGTATTATGCTGACTTGATAACCTCAATTATAAGGAGAAACATCATGTGTGTGTATATGTATATATTTTAAGCAAGACAGGCTCAGCAGGAGGAATTCAGATCCAGCGTAAAGCAGAAAGAACAGCAGTGGTGCATGCTGAAACTGCGCTTATAAAAACCCAAAACTACGTAAACTTTTCTACTTGTGTAACTCAAAAGTTGTGTAAATTGTATGCAAATAAATGCATACATTTAAGTATTTACATACAGGGGTTAAATAAAGAGGAGCTGACCACGTCTATAACAGAGATGAGAAAATTTGTGCCAATAGCTCTTTCATCAAATCCTTCTCTTGTGACCGAGCTGGAAAGCATTTGTAGAAAAGTGTTCAGTTTTGGTTGAAAGATTTTAAAGAGTGGAGGATCCACCCACGTTGTTTGATAAGTTACTCCAGTGGTTAGTTACCCTTGGAGGTGAACTCAACTTTATCGCAAAAACCTTTTTGTAATGAAGTGGGCTGAAAAAAATGATAAACAGGACAAACTTTTTTTGCCTGGCATTTACCTTTCACTTCAAGCTTTATTTGCTAATTAAGGTAAAAAAAATGCTTACGCTGTAGCCTGGAAATGTTACGTTAGAAATAAAATCAACAAGCTCTTTTTGAAATGACTGTACAGTCGCGCGTCTTCTCTCTGTCAGATGAACGCTAACAGAAAATAGCAATAGGTAAGACCTAGGCTCCTCTCCCAGGCAGCGTTGCTGAAGCTCTTTGCTAGTCCTGTCATTCGGATTTAGGCCAGGCTTTGACCGAGAGAACTTCTTGCTCTTTTGCTCCATTTCGTTAATGTTTTCCATCGTTCTCCAAACGTTCAGTTTGGTTTCTCTGTTCTAGTTAAATTAGCCAAACTCTGTGTGCAAGTACCTGCATAAATATATATAAATATGTATAAATTTAAAGCAGCAATTGGCAAAGGTATTGTAATGCTTCAATTGTCGTTTTATTTGCAGAACAGACACGAGATTTCCTTCATTCTGTGGGGGTTTTTCTTCTTTTTTTTTTTCCTGGGCTTAATTGTTCCAATTACTTTTCCAGATTGACTCTTGGTGCAAAGAGAATAGCTACGTGATAGCTGGATATTACCAGGCAAATGAACGCGTGAAAGATGCCAGGTGTGTTGGTGCAATATTTCCTTCTGTTTGCTCTTTTATGTTGTACTTTGTACTCTGCCAACAAAAATCACGCACATAAATCGTGCGTCTTGATTAACTTTGACAACTGTCATCTGGTTTCACATTGTCTTCGTGGCGCTGGTGGATGTGGCCTTTGTTCAGGTGCAGAAACCCCAGCCCTTCCAGAATCACTCCTCTTTAGTGGATACTATAAAAGGCTGGTCTTTGAACGACTGCCAACCAGTTTAATTACAGTTGTCAGGGAAATAGCCAAAACTTGCAGGCGTGTTTGCTTGTGCAGTGCGTGTCTTGTAAACTCGAATGGCTCCCGAGTATCTTTTGGAAAGTCTTTCAGAAGTGACCTAATTCTTACTAAACTACTTAATTGTCTCCGAGTTTTATTGAAGCATTTTCTTACGTTGTGAAGGGACACTCTTGTAATGGAAGATGATGTCAGTCAAGCAGAGATAACTCTTTTCACTTATTTTCCCCAGAATTAGTCACTTTTTTCCCCCTGCTAACGAACTCAAATTACTCAATAAGTGGGCCTTCTGGTGGAGCCACAATATAGTTTTAGATCAGTGTATCATATACCTTCCCCTGTATCTTTTAGACAAATCCAGTGTCAGGACTAATGAGGGTACATCATACTTGTATTTAAAAAAAATATGAGCAGTCTATTTAAAGCGTTATGCTATGTTCCAGTTATTTTGTTAATGTGTATCCTTCCATCTAAGTAATACTTGTGACTGCTAAGGTATCTAGCAGGGATAAGGGTGTTATTTGTCCTTTCCTTACAAGGGAAATAAATCTGCTGGAGACATTTTTAAGGAGGAGATAGGGTTTGTTCTATTTGAGCTTTGAAGAAATGTCACAGGCTTCATTTGTGTGTTGGTTTTTTTTTAAACTCTGATTTCATTTCTGAAGATAATCAGCACCATGTAGAGATTGTCATCTTTGAAACATGCTAAAATTTTTTCCTTTAAAAGATTATCTGATTTTTGGTAGAGAAGCTGGGCAGTGAGTGGGTTCAAATGCAGGCTGGAGAGCAAACTCGGTTTCTGTTTTAAATGCCTGCCGAGGCAAAGGTGGCTGCAGTCTTTGGTCTGATAGAAGAAGGTAGGAGGGTGCAAAACGTTGATTCCACATGAAGTGGTCTGCAGTGAACGTTTTGCCATTCAAAAACCCATTGCCTAAGCACAACTAAAATCCAGACCGCGTGCTGAAGAGAGGAGCTGGGGTTTTCTTGGCCTTCTGACTTCAATCAAATGTAGCATCAGCTTGCTATCTTGTTCCTGTTTGTAAGCACGCAGTGTAATTTTCACATGTCTTTAAGCATATTTCCTGCTGGTTTCAGCTGAAATGTCATGGTTCAAATAACACAGTTACTTTTACCTTCTGCTGCAGTCCAAACCAGGTTGCGGAAAAGGTGGCCTCCAGAATCGCAGAGGGCTTTAACGATACAGCGCTCATAATGGTAAATTATTTCATTTCCCCGCACTCCCCTTTCTGTATTGTTACTGTTAGGACCGTGGCGTTATTTGCTGGATCCTTTAACAGAGAAGTAACTAATCTTCTCTTTCCATCCAAATGCCCTGGGGAAGAGACGCAATGACCTGTAGCCAGTGAAGTTCTTAGTAAGTCTACAGAGAGACTGTGGTTAGCGCTCTGCCATCTCAAAGGAAGTGGATGCCTTCTCTGGTTGAGAGGCTTGAGTGAAGGCAGTGTATTCATGACTGCAGATCCCCTTTTTGCGACTTAAATTCTTTTCTTCTCTTAAGCAAATCATACTTTGCCTCCTTGCCGCAGTGATAAAGGATGTCGGCAGTTTAAATGTGTAAAATTCAGCTTATTTGAAGGTAAAACAGTGGATGAGTTAGTGTAAGGTGCCCTGTTTGTAAAATCTGACTTTTTTTCTTCTGTTTTAATTTCATCTCTTTACTTGGGATCTTGAGGAGGAGAATAAAGTGGGGTTTTTCTGTTGCACACCAGGTTGATAACACCAAGTTCACGATGGAGTGCGTAGAGCCCGCCATTCACCTGTACGAGCTTCACGAGAACAAGTGGAGGTGCAAGGACCCGCACGTGTGAGTAAACTTCAGAGTTTATTTGTGTTCGGGTAGTAAAGGAAAAACGGATTGACTGGTTAAGGGCAAAACTTTGATTGCGATGAGTGATGCCGTAAGGGTGGCAGGTGTAGCTGACAGCACTTTTAAAGCTGGTTGTTTTTTTTTTGCTGTAGTGAGAGAGAGCAGAAGGATTCTGCAGCCAGGTATGAGTATGGTGTAGAGAGTGTGGCTTAATTTCCAGGGTAGAGGAGGTGGTAGTGATTTTCTTTGTGATTACCCTTAATTCCTGGTTGTTTTATGTCCTAGTGATTTTTGTGAAGATTGGAGCGAAGCCCAGAGAATCGCTGCATCTCTCTTGGACAGCAAGTCCTACGAGACGCTTGTAGATTTTGATAATCACCTGGATGATATCCGGAACGACTGGACAAACCCAGAGATCAACAAAGCCGTCCTCCACCTGTGTTAGGGGGGTCTCTACTGACTAATTTATGGGCATTCCCACTATGTACTGAAGAGAGAAAAATGCTATTTTTGAATGTAAATAGAATAATATTCAGTACCTTGTGTGGAAACCCGACTGATTAAAAAGGAGTGGCACGTCACATTGCAAAGAGTGATGTGTCCATAAGCTGGTGAATCTTTTTTGTGAGATTCCTTGGAAGAACTGCAAACTCTGTTACAGCTGTCCTCGCGGACGCCTTCCCAGTCATAGTGAATGTTGCTGCTCCTTCAAAATCAGAACCACTTCTGCTTGTCCCTGCTGTTTGAATTACAAAGGTTTGACTAAGCTTTTCTAATCTTTCGAGAGATTACTTTTTAACGATTTATGGAAATACCTTTCCAAAAAAATCAATCTTGTCCTCAGATGTGAAATTTTAAGGTCAAATACATAAAACGTAAGGTTAACTGTTTTCTTTTGGCCTGGTTTGGAAATGTCATTCTGTCGGCACAGTGCAATGCGAACTGCCAAGGACGAAGTACCGTGCTCGTGTGTCACCTGCTTTGCAGTGGTTTCGCACGACACAGCTACCGATAGCGTGTTAAAGCAGTATTCCCAAATTCCACGGGGATTCCTGCTCTCCGGGGGCATACAGCCACAGTTACTGCTTGAATATGTTAAACTCAAGGTAAAAACAGATGTTCACGTAGCGATTTGAAAAAAGACTGGAAGCGCACTAATGAGTTGGAGTGAAAGTTCTAAAACAGTTTGAGTCTACAGAAGAAGAGGGGAGTGAAATGCTATGTTAATTTTATACAGTCTTTTCGGGGGTTTTTAAACAGATCTGATTTCCAAGTGGCTCGTGTGGTGTCCATTTAAGTAAATCTAAAATGTGTCCCTCCACGTAGACTGAATCCAGGAACGTAGATATACTCTGGTTCAACTTTCGTTGATCTTTCTAATTAATCTTTATTTCAAAGAAGAAGTTTGCTGGGCAATGAAGCTTTATAGCGTCATTTCCTCTTATGTTATTTTATATGCGGAGGTTTTTTGTCAGGTCCTTTGTGGAGTTTTTGATGGAGGAGGGAGGAAGAGGTGGCACGGATGGAGAGCTTCCTCGCTCGCTCTGGTCAGCCTGTGCTTCGTGCACGTGCCTGATGTCGGACTAGCGCTGTTCTTATAAGTCTGCTGCCTCACTCCTTGTGGATGTGTGTCAGACTGTAGTTAAACACAGGCTCAAACTGTGACGGTTTCTCTAGATTTCCTTCTCTTCCTACCCAAAATGTTCTTTACAAGGCAGATCCAAATGATCGGCCTCTTTCCGAGTTCCTGCTTTTTCCTTGATGTTCTTTATTTTAAAACATGAGGGATGGGATTGTCGAAACCTCTTGGTCTTCCTCTGCTTTTTTTTTATTCTATTTAAATAAGCACAAGTTTTCCTCTTGGTCTCAGTGAGAGACGGGATAAGGCTAAAATCCTGTTCTGGATTAAGGAAGAGAACCAGGGTGGCTCCAGTCGGGTCCTGCTGCGGAGTTCCCTGCGGTTCGAATTCCACAAAGCCAGGAGGCGAGGTCTGAGGTTCAGCTCCCTGTCCAAGGAGGAGATGAAGTTTTGAACCCAACAGTTCGGTTCGTCTCCCCGCTATGCAGTAGTAAGGTGTGACGGGAATTACAAAAGGGGTTGGCACTTAGTCAGTAGCCTTTCCTGAGTGTGAGTCAGGCTTGCAGGAAAGGAAAATGTTTTCTCTTGTTGAAGGAAAACATGTACCTCGCTCACAAGCAGCAAGATAAACGCGTTCCAGTGGCTGTTTTACTACAGTCAACTGCAAATCATACAGGCTGCAGGAAGAGGACTGTCTTATTTTGTACAAACACCTCATGAAATCTAACCTCTTGTTCCAGGGGCAGATTTTTATCTTAGGTTAGTGGTATGAGATTGTCAGCCATCTAAGCTGGTTTGTCTCCTGAGCCACAGGAAATGTATTTCTTACTCTTTGTAACTAGCTGTCATAATCAAACTTTGATCATATATACGCTAATACAGTCGAATCTTGCAGTACTCCCCCCTGACCCTCGTAAGACAAAGCACAATGTATATCCTCGGTCCATAACCTGATGGAAACAGTCCCTGGGACTAACTTTACTGGAAGGGGAGCAGCTTTTAATGCTTTGTGTACCCCTATTTTTTATCTTCTGTTTGCTTTTAAATGAGGTCCTTTGAGTGTTTTGTCACCAGTAGAAGCCGGGGCTGGCTTGAAGCAAAAAAGGACAAGCACTGCTGTGCTCAGATCTTATCTCACCTGTCCTATTTGCATTGAAGGCTGGACAAAAGGCAGCAATTTCATAAAGGCAAGGCAGCCAGGGTGGCTCTTGTGAAAGAATGAGGAAGCTGCCGGGCTCAGCGAAGGCTGTGCTCCCCTTTCCTG